ACTCTTGTGGGACACTCTTGTGGGACACTCTTGTGGGACACTCTTGTAGGAAACTCTTCTGGGACACTCTTGTAGGACACTCTTGTATACGCTCGCTGCCCCTGCCGCCGACCCTTTTGGTCGACCCCCGCCCGACCCCCGGTCGTTTGTGTGTGTGAGGTATAAAAAAACACTGTGATTTACAGGGTTTTGGGCCCCTCGGCGGCCGAGAATTTCATCTTGGCCATGTTAAAAAACGTCGGTTTTTCCATGGTTTTTGCTTTGTGGGAAGGAAAAAATCGTAAACAGTTGTATCGGAAGATTTTTTCAACATAAATTGCCTAACATATCCCCAACATAGGCCCAAGATAGCCAACATATCCCCAACATATGCCCAACATAGCCTCCAAGATGGCTCAGCATAGGGCCAACATAGGCCTAGCATAGGCCAACCTAGGCCCAACATAGGCTCAACTTGGGCCCAAGATGTGCCCAACATAGACCACACAACTTGGCCCAACCTAGGGCCAAGATGCGCACCAGATAGCTTAACTTTGCTCAATATAGGCGAGAGAGAGAGAGAGAGAGACAGGACCCAGCCCTACACAGACCCAAGTGGGCCGGCGCCCGGCTGTCAGGCGTAAGCCTCATAATCCGGCCAGGGGCGATGAGCCCCGTCAGGGCCGTGTCCCTCCGGAGGAGTTCTCCTTCTGCGAAGCAGAAAGCAAATCCGCCTTCTGCCGCCGACCCCAGAAAACTCAGGGTTTTTGACGTTTCTATTTTTCCGCGCTTGTTGCTCACGATGGGTCAACATAGCCCAACATAGGCCCAAACTATAAACAGGGAAACGAAAACAAAACGGGCAACGAGGAACACACTAATAGTAAAGGACAGGTTGATGTTTTTCATGTGGATATGCAAAAAAAACGTCGTGGAACACATGGTCATGGAAGACGCACAAACTTGTGACCACCTTGCGGAAGTGTTCAGTGTGCCGAGGGTTGCGCCACGCGCTAGAGCGAGGGTCTTAGAGCGGACGCTTCTTTTGATTTGGAAGGTGGATGGAACTTTTTGAAGAGTGACCACCGCGCTAAGTGCATGAATTATTTGAAGACTCACACTCCCCTTGTTGTTGTTCTGAGCCCTCCTTGCACCATGTTCTCCAACTGGCAGAACATATCCTGGCAGAGAGGAAATCAGGAAGGGAAGAAAAGGAAACTTGTGGAAGCCAGGTGAATTTGCCATTCAAATTTGTAATGAGCAACGGAAAGCCTCACGCTACTTCATTTTGGAGCAGCCTCTGAGTGCAACGAGCTGGGAAGTTCCCTCATTTCAATTGAGGGAACTGCGACAGCGAGACTCATCCATGTTTGTTCACCTGGACCAATGTATGTATCACTTGAAGGACCCACAGAATCACTTGAGGTACAAGAAACCCACTGGTCTTCCCACGAACATTATATAAAGACATGTGTTCTTTGGGAGTGACTTGTGACGGAAATCACAATCATCAAAGGGTTGAGGGGAGAACCAGGGTTGGGAGTGGCTGGGTTCGTCGTTCGGTGTGCGCTCAAGTGTACCCCAGGAAATTAAATTGATGGATGGGATTGTTCGTGGAGTGACTCAACTGAGAACTCGCCTGGAAAAGGAACAGCTTGAGTGTTTTGTTTCTAGGGATGTGGACTTTGAGAAGCCTAGAATGATGGGCATGATCCGCAGAGCACACGTGAATCTTGGACACCCGTCTCGAGAGAGATTCATCTAATATGCTTCGAAGTGCTGGAGCAAAGGAGTTGGCAATTGAGTGCGCCAAGGAACTGAGGTGTAGTACATGTTGCAGCAAGCGATTGCAAGAGGTTCCGAAAGTCGCAAAGCATAGGAGAGCTGAAGGCTGAAGAGTTTAATCAGCAAGTGAATCTTGATACTTTTGAGCTTCCGATTTATCAACAAAAAGTTGTTAAAATGCTGAACTGTTTTGATGAAGGTACTGGTTTGCAACTTTGTTTTCCCTTGTGGTCGGGTGCAACGGCTCAAGAAGTCAGAAAAAAGTACAGAAAGTACTGGAAGCGTTGGGCGGGAAATCCGCGATGCATCCTGACTGATGGTGGCACTGAGTTTGACGGTGCCATGCAGGATGGTCTAGATCACTACAATGTGCGTGTAGAGAAAATAGGTGCGCATGCGCCATAGCAGAATGGTGCGTGGGAGCGTGAGGAGGCCCAACATTTTTGCCAAGGCATTCGAGGAGGCCCAACCAAGGAACAAACCAGAGGTCGATGAACTCATCGACCAGGTCGGCGAAGAACTCCATGGCACGAAAGCATGGGTTTGCGCCATATCAACATGTTTTTGGTTCAGATCTCAGAGTGCCAGGTCTCATCAGCGAAGCTGAAGAACAAATACCTTACAACACTGAGATTTTGCATGATGTCGATCGCTTCAGGAGAAGTCATGAACTGCGCGGCGCAGCAAGACGAGCCATGGTCACTGTAGACGACGATCAGAAAGTCAGAAAAGCAATGGACCATCGAGCACGTCCTCTACGAGGGCCATATCGGATCGGTCAGCTTGTCTACTACTGGCGCAGGCTTCCAAGTGAAAAAAAGGGTGGCTCTTGGAAAGGACCATCTACAGTGACTGGCTTCTACGACAACTCCAGAATCTGGATATCACATGGCAACAAAGTGCTGAGATGTGCCCCGGAGCAGCTGTGAGCATCGACAGAAGACCAAGAGGCAGCGATCAAGTTCCTCCCACCGGAAGTCCTCAGCGAGAGGCAGAGGAACGCAAAGAGCGGTGCGCATACGTTCACAGATATTAATTTCTCAGGCTGAACGACCACAAGATAGCGAACAACCACCAATGGAGGACGAGGATGAGAAAGATGAGCCGTCGAGCAAAAGACAGCGTCTAGCAGATCTTGAGCAGCTGGACAGTCAAGACGCTGAATATACTCCGACGGAGCCACCAAATGTACCCCCAGTGTCAGACACATTAGACGAAGACCCTACAAGGCCGCCAAGCACTTCAAGTCCCGAGGAGAACAAGGAGTCAACAGAGGTGCGTGACGCACCAGAACCAACTACGTACGGACCTCTGAGAAACACACAGCGAATCCATGAACCAGGAGATCTGACTCAAGCTTTGAGAAGATCACTTGACCTTTTGGACACAGGTGCCAGTAACACCATGAGAGGCCCGTTTGGTAGAGATCGCAGTCCACAAGAACCAGATGATGAGGTGCTTGTCTGTGAGGACTCCGACCAGAACCAGATGTGTGACCATCACTTCGAGTCGTTCCTGGCGCAGAAAGTTGGAAATCAAGAGGTCAAGACTCAAAATATGTCAGATCTTGAGAAGTGGCAGGCTATCGAAGGAAGAGTTAAGGAGTGGAACAAGTTGCTGAAGGCTGGAGCAATTAGAGTGTACAGTGGAGATGAAGCAAGGAGAATCATTCAGGAATTTGGAGAAACAAGTGTGTTGGGATCGAGATTTGTGAATACCAGGAAGGAAGATCCCGACAACCCAGACAAGATAACGATGAAATGTCGCTGGGTCATCAAAGGATTTCAAGATCCAGACGTCGCCAGCCTACACTGCCAGAGTCCAACTCTTTCTGCTGACAGCTTAGCTGCCACTCTCCAGCTCATCGCAGCCACCAGTGGGAGCTAACGATAGCAAACATCGAAGGTGCGTTCCTTCAAGGATCTGGTTTCAAAAGAGAATCAGGTCGTCTCTTCGCTTCTCTGCCTAGTGAAAAAATTGAAGGGGTTCCGGAAGGGTCGATTGTAGAGTTGACTAAGTGTGTGTACGGGTTAATGGACGCACCGAGACATTGGTGGACTTGTTTGTCCAAAACTCTTCGCGGCTTGGGACTCAAACAAATTATGCTGGATCCCTGCGTTTTCTTTTGGCATAGCGAAGGCAAGTTACAGGGGGTTGTCGCTGTACATGTGGACGACTTAGTGTTGGGGGCACTAGCAGTTTTCATGAAGTGTTGGGGAAGCTGAAGCAAACTTACCCGTTTAAACACTGGAAGACTCGTGGAGGTGAATGGTTCCATCATCATTTCTCAAAAGCAATACGCCCAAGAAGTTCCTGTTGCGAGCATCAGCAAAGAAAGAAGAAAATTGAAAGAAGAAAGACTTACTCACACTGAGTTGAAACAGTATAGATAGAGCAATCCTGGGCGCCGCCAACTGGATTGTTGGCAGCACGAGACCCTACATCGCTGCAGAGACAGCCTTTTTGCAGCAAAGAGTTGCCCACGCTACCATTGGGGATCTTATTGAAGCTAATAAGTTGGTTGCGCGGCGCGGATGAGGAACTTTGCTCATGTTAAAATTAGAATTAGAAGTATTCCTTTTGAAGACTCGGTCATTTTGGCGACTTCTGATGCTAGTTGGGGAAACACGGAACCCTTGGAAGCCAAGCTGGGTACATAATTCTTCTGGGTCATAAGAATTTGTCGCAGGGTCAATGGGCTCAAATTTATCCACTTCGTTGGAAAAGTTTTAAATTAGAGCGCCAGACTAAATCAACATTAGGTGCGGAGTTCTTGTCTGCAGCTAGAGCGATAGCTGAAGGAAATTGGTTCAGATCGCTTTTTGCCGAAGCACTACACCCTGATTATCAGTTGGAGAGAGACTCCTTCTTTATATATAAATCAGATGGAGATGATTGTGGCTGTTGACAACAAGCCCATCTACGATCACTGCATCGGAGACGGTGTTGTCGTGAGAGATAAGAGAACGGCAATAGATATGTTGATTGTGAGGAGAGACCTGCGTGAAAGCAACACAAGCTTGAGATGGGTAGATTCTAGACAAATGATAGTTGACATGCTCACCAATCCTGAAGAGAGGTTAATATATTTTGGTTGAAGAAAATGCATGCTTAGAGTGGCGTAATGCAGAGAAGAGACGGCGGCAATAAGACCTTCAACATGAAGAGTCCGGGGTGTGTGAAAATCATACATCCATGTTGAAGGTACCGGATAGTCTCATCGCAGGCATGGGGCTTACTCTAGGAGAAAAGGCTAGCGCCGGAGCGACCACTGTGAATTCTTGAAACTCACAAATGAATACAAATGACCAATAGCCAATAGATGCCAATAGCACTGCCAATTTAACTTAAATTCAAACTGGCCTTTCGGAACTCCACCAGCAGTTCCTGTATTGGCGCCACAATTCCCTGCACGTACTCTTTGTACTCAACCTGCATTCAATCCATTTCCATCCAACATCCAGCACTTCCATTCTACTAAGTCTCAGACCCAATTCCCCCATAATACCCCACAATGTCCCACAGTGATAGTTGGACTTTGTCTCAACCGGGATGCCTGTTGGTCAAAAAAACGGGCCGACTCAGCGCCTGCATGTCATCGATTAGCAAGGCCATGGTTCGGCTCCGATCACTTAGCTCGTAGGCACCTGCAAGGCTCAGCACTGGCAGCGATGTTATATATCCCAGAATGGTTTAGCATTCTCAAAGTCAAACACTGATGCGAAGCTGGGCACAAACATCAAACATTGATGTTGGAGATGTTGGAGCTTTTCTTGGCTGAGGCATCCCATGGCTTTCCCTAGTGAAAAAAATAAACGCTGGAACTGAAAGCTTTCATTATTTGGTGGTCCCCCCACCTGCAGCTGCATGTAGTCAGAAAAGTTATTTGACTGCAGGCACATGGGGGTTACCTACCCTCAAGATGAAACAATTAACCTGAACTTAACTGACTGAGCATTTTTTGGGAGTCGAAAGAATATGCTAAGGTTGAGAGTATAGTTCATCTGCTTCATTTGGGTGAGGAGCCGAGGCACACCAAAAGTCTGTCAAGTATGGGAATTGCAAAGGGTTCCGCTGGCCCGTAGCAGAAATCCCATTCACCTAGGAAAACAAGCAACTATGATGACAGGCATCAGTCCAAGTGTCACTGACGATGCTTGAGCTAAGAATCAGAATTGATACCCGCCGCTGCCATCTGGTCAAAGTTTTGCTCACCCGCCTTTGCAATCTTTGGCAATGGTTGCTCGCCAGGCCCCAAATGGGCTTGGGCGAGGCTCAGGAGTGGCAAACTCCACCGAATGAAAACCATGGCAAAAGCGCGACCGCAACAAGCACGCCCACCTGACAGCTTTTGGCTGGAGCCAACTCTAAAACTCTTCTTCGTGACAGGCATGACGACTGCAATTTCCCCCTGCCAAACCTGATAACGCTGCCACATTCACTGCTTTCACGTAATACTCTACTTTGTTCGTTTTGCTTTGCTTTCTGTTTACCTCCTCGCTTTTGTGTGTCCGATTGTCTGATTCAGATTTGCATGCGCCGGGGGGGTCTGCACCTGTGGCAATTGCTTAATTTCCCCTTCCTTCTATATAGGTTCCTTCAGCTACTACCAGTGTACAGTATACAATAGTTTCTAAGTCACTTGGGTCTTCATTGGTTATTCCCCTCCCCAATCCAGTGGGCATTCACACTCTTGGAGAGCGGCCCGCAGCTCAAGATGGAAGGCAAACAAGGTCAGCAAACCCATTCAAAAAAAATCTGCGTGTTGCCTTGTCCAGGACCTGCTTGTCTTGAGGAGCCTGCACTACACCCCCGAGTGAGCATAGGAACAGATTCCATCTATGGAAAAAAAAGTCCTGAATTCTGTGACGAATGAAGTAATCAGTTATCCATTTGTTGGCGTGTTTGGGTCACCAAGTTATTATGCAACTGGTGATTGCAGCAAAGGCCAGTGCTCTGCTTAGCGCTCTTGCTCAGGCTCCCCTGTGTGTTCTCTTCGGCCCCTGCGCCTCTTTGGAGCCAGTCTCAGCGGCATCCTTCTTTTCTGGCTTTTTCTCTTTAGAGGGATCCTCTCTAGAGGATTTCTCTTTCTTGGACACCGCTGCCGGTGGAACCGGTGGAGCCTGAAAGGATCTGCAAAATAGGTGGCCTTGCCATGTAATCTTGCCCACACCACCTCTTCTGGGCTTCTGTCTTGAATTCTTAAAGATCTCCGACACATGTTCACGTCGTTTGGTGTGTGTGTGTGTGGCGTTCTGAGGCCTCAAGGCCATTCTCCTCTTTGGGGCGCTTCTTTGGATCCTGGTTTCACTTCTGGACAATAGATGTCCAGCTGTATCTGAGCTTGGGGCCTTCTCAGACTTGCTCTTCTGTTTGGCCTCCTGGAGTGGAACATATATGTGGGGAGCAGCTTCAGCTAAACTTCAAGAATGGGATGTGCTGGAGATCCTCTTTAGAAGACGCTTTCTTTGGCACTTTCTCGGCCTCCAAACCATACCACAAGTTCCAAATCGTCGCATCAGTGCTGAGATTCAAAAAGGGTTTGGAGCCTTCTCAGCTCTGCTCTTCTGCTTGGTATCCTCATACACTCACTACTCCCAAACAAATGGATGTTTCTGGGCCAAAACATTGCAAACATTTGCAAACTGAAAGGGAAAAACATAACAGTTCCTGGTTCGAAGACAATTTCTTTGATGTCTTCTCTACCTGCAAGGCATCGGACCAACTCAGCAAGTCCAAACAAAACAAGGCCATATCATGTAGTTATGTAATGCAAAAATCACAAACACCATCAATCAAACATCTATCATATAAGTGGCAGTCAGGCCTTGGCTATCTATACCGCCCACCCTGTCGCCCCAAATCCAATTCGCCAATAACTGTGGGAAAGGCAAAGGGCCAAAATGGAGCATGGCAAACATTTTGTACAACAGCAGAGTTCTTCTGGACATGCAAGAACGTGCAAAAACTCTCTACATCTCATGGGAAAACTGCACGAAAGCTTGCGCCGGTGAAGCAGCCCAAACCAACAAAGAAGGCACCTTCGAGGCTGACCCTGCGGCTTCCTTCTTGGCAACCTGCACGTATGTGCCGGCTTCTCACAAGCCACACCTCTCATAAGATCTGCAAGCCTCTGCAGCTTCCTTCTTCTTCGATCCTTTGTTTTCGCTCATTTTATGACTTGTCGCTTGCTTGCTTTCCTTTGTTGCTCTTTTTTCCTGAATGGCAGAACGAGATCAAACCAGCAAAGGGATTGGATTTGCGCTGGCGTGGCCTCGCCCTTTGAGGCCGCGTGCTCCTGCCCAAGGTGTCGGTGACACGGCCGGCAGTAACTAGTCACTATAGTCAAATAAATTACAACACATATTTGTGAGGATTATGTAAACTGCAGCATGTACATGCAAACTCCCAACAAAATCCGAATCAGGCCACAGTTCACGGCTTGCATGCTGTTGTTCCAAAACCGTCCATGCACAACAAAACACTTAACCCTCTTGATTTTGTAGCTAGCAGTAGCTAGCTAGCCTCCTCTTGGGACGCGATCCTGTGGCTTTAATTCTCCAACTTTTCTCTTCGATCTCTCTCTCTCTCTCTCCCCCTGTCTCTATTTGCAGCCTTTCCGGAGATGTCAGATTTTGGCTCTTCCTTCACCTGACCAGCCTGAACGGAGAAAACCCCGACTACGGGTACAGCAACTTTGCTTGAAGCCAGTTGAGTGGGCCTTGTCCCGACTGCTCAAACAGTGCAGACTGATCCAGCTTCCAAAGACTCTGAGCACGCAACTTCAGCCGATGCTTCAAGCTTTCCTTCTTTCTCTCGCAGCCACTGCTTTAGAATCTCTATGTCCTTCTTTATGTCCTGCAGACTTTGTGGATGACTTTTGGCCGTCTGCATTCAAAAAGTATGCCATGCCGCACATGTTGCTCATCAACTGGACACACCAAGCTTATTTATACTTGGGTTTTTCAACCGGGAATCCAGTGCAAAATGCTTCTATAGTTCCAGCATCATGACCCTGGGCACGGATGTGATTCTTGGCATGGTACGTACGACCATCTCATGAGAGTGTTTGTGTGAGTTTCCTATGGAGACTTCAAGCCAAAGCAATAAACCAATAATGACATATAACAAAAAATAAATAAAAGTAATAACTATATAATATAAACAATAAGGACTACAATAGGGCCATAGGGCTTCGTTTCGCGTCTTGAAGTTCGCTGGACTGGATTCGTTTTACGTGTGACGCAGCATTCGTTGTAACGCCCGGCTCCTTCTGGCGATCAAGGTTTGCCTCCTGACTTACAAACGGCATCGAAAGGCTATGACTATTGCTCAATGACTATGCGCATTCGTTGAGTATATAGACAGGCGCAAGGAATCCACCTCTGCCAACTCGCGTTGACGCTCAGCCTCAGTTACGCTGCTAGCGTCAAACCATCGGCAAAGGCTAGGTACTGAGGCTCCAAGATGGACCAAGGACAGGCACCAAAACCTGAGGTATCTGCGAGCATCTCCTTCAAGTTGTCCAGAGCCACTTTGGCTTCCTCCTGCCGGGCCAAAGAATTGCCAACATGCACAGGGCACTAGAACGTGGCTACGTCTACGTGCAACTACAACAGCCTCTTTTTGCCATCATCGCATGGCTGCAAAATAGGCCCTCTTCGGGGCATCCTGTCGCCCGATGTCTTTAACAGCCGGCGGTGACGCATTGCAGTTCCCACTGGTCAGGTACGTGGGAGCTCAAATTCAGAAATTCTTTCAACATGCCGATGGAGAAGGCATGTTGAATCCCCCAAAACTATAGATAGGCCTCAAATTCGAGGCTCTGCTCTCAGCACGGACAGTAGGTCTTGGAGCTCTAGAACATCTTCCTCGACATGAGTCACCTGTCTCTCAGCAGCCAATGGCGCACACAGAACACAATGCATGCAGCCTGACACATGCTGTGCACACCTTGATTGGGCACGTCAACCAGCATGTGCGATGTGTAGCTAAAGGCTAGGGAAGTCGCTTTATCGCGCAAAAGCCGCTGCATCTTCAGCATCTGAAGTGTAGACACTGGAACTTCACGAAGGAATATATTCCTCATGTCATGGCTAACTGCTATTTCGCAATCATTCGCAAATCAGTGTCTGAAAGTCAAGACGTGAACAATGAACATGCGCTTCATCTTGAAGCAGCATAGTACACAACTACACTCCGGACTTGATCCAAGAAACAAAAGGCCTTCTATAAATTCAGAACCTTGGATTCTAGCAGCACTCAAGCAGGACTGTTGGATGATCAGCAATGGAAATCTTTATAGCGTTGCGTAGCTGCGTTTCATTGCCGACACTTGCAGCAGCACCAGCTACCCACACCGCACATCAACACACATCACTATACCGTCTTCAATCGTCTTCATCTGTCTTTGTTTGCTTGTAGGACGCCACCGCCGAATGCCGACATTCGGGACCAAGGAGCGATTAATCTTTCCTGAACCATCCACATCCAAGGTGTTGAACAAGTCGGCCATACCTTGGCTCACCAAGATGCAGCCGGACCCAGTCAAATGGGCAGAAAGGGTCTCTGCCAAGGCGGCCAAGCCACTGTCCACTGAGGCTCTGTCTAGGAGATGAGATGGTACCAAACCATCCTCTTCAAATTTCACCATCCTGAGTCAATCAAACGGCTTGATGGCTCATCAAGTCAGAAGGCTTCGACATAAGGCGGAGAGCCGTTCTTTGCAACACTTGGGAGTCTGTTCTACAGTACTTTAGTCGCTTTAGTCTTCTGATGTTGCAGAAACGTTTCTCCGAATTTCATCCTTGACTGAGGGCTGATTTGGTTAAGGAAAGGACTCTGTCAAGTCAACTTCACCACTGCCGTCCTGGCGGTGCAAGTGCTCAGCGCGGCTTGAGACCCCATACATTCCCTAGTTCTTCAGGATTCGCTATAAATACAATACAACATAATACAACCATTGGTATACCTGCGCACTGTCATATCAATACGTTGATTCAATGTTGGTGGAACGTGGAGGAACAACAAGCAGCCGGGTGGGCAAACATTTGCCTTTTGATCCTTTTGAGGCACTGTGCAGTTGTGCGCTCTCCGTATTCTCCAGGAGCCACGAAGGCAACACGTTAATTGCATTTAATTGCGCAGCTTTGCCTACAAGCCATCCACCATCAAGCAGCATTGTACGGACTGTACGCACCATTACGGATTTCAAGTCCAGTGGTCGCATGTGATTCAACACTCGGTCCTCATCGATCAAGTCAAAAAGACTGATGATTTCGGGTACTAACTGCTTCGTTGTGGCTTGTTCCACCCTCGTCTCTTCCCTCAGCTGGCAATTCGCTGGTAAATGATAAGTTGCGTGATTATCCAATCACATCTAATCACTGAATACTTTGTACCTTGCAAC